GTTTAGGTTGGAAAGGACCTTGAAGATCATCGACTTCCAACCCCCCTGCCATGGGCAGGGCCACCTCCCACCAGCCCAGGTTGCCCAAGGCCCCCTCCAGCCTGGCCTTCAACACCTCCAGGTGTGCCGGACCATTGTCTGTCTTGATCTGATGAGGAACCCCGGTGACAGAAAATGCCCGTTGCCAGTGTCGAATCCCATCTTTGGTGCCCTCACCCGTGTGGGCAGTAGCAATAATAACCGATGAAAAAGTGTCAATAGATACATGAACAAATTTTAACCTGCCGAATTCACCAATGTGGGTAACGTCCGTTTGCCAAATCCGAAGGGCTCGAAGCCCTCTGGGATCGGTCCCGTAATAACGAGGGACACGGTGGCCCTGACAGTCAGGGCAAGCCGCAACAGCGGCACGTGCCTCAGCATGAGACGGATGAAACTGTCGCCTAAGAGCACGATAGCCTTGATGGAACAACCGATGAGACGCAATCGCCTGCTGCGTGATATTTGGCGTTGGTCCCATTGCTGCACCCGACGCAAGTTCGTCTGCCTTTGCGTTTCCCTCCACCAAATATCCGGGAAGAGACGGATGACTCTTAATGTGTAAAACAGAATACGGGTGTTGCCGGCTTTGAATCTCACTCCGTAACAGTTTTAAAACACCAAAGAGTTTCTCCTGAATAACACGACTCAAACCAGCCTTATCCAGTCGCTGTACCAGGGCAGCTACGTAACCTGAGTCATAACAATATTGACCGGACCAGTAAAATGTTGGAATGCCATCGCCATTGCTCTCAACTCCACAGTTTGAGGAGAGCCTTCTTCACAGAACCACAGAATTTTCAGAGCTGGAAGGGACCTCCAGAGCTCACCCAGTCCCACCCCCCTGCTAAAGCAGGACTGCCCAGAGCACATCGCTCAGGACTGCATCCAGGCGGGTCTTGAAAACCTCCGGAGAAGGGACTCCCCCACCCCCTGGGCAGCCTGTGCCAGCGCTCTGTCACCCCAACCGTAAAGAAGTTCTTCCCTCTGTTGGAACGGAACTTCCTCTGCTCCAACTTGTGCCCACTGCCCCTCGTCCTGTCCCTGGGAACCACCGAGAAGAGTCTGGCTCCATCCTCCTCCACCCCCCCCTTTAGATACGTGTATGCCATCATAAGGTCTCCCCTCAGCCTTCTCCTCTCCAGGCTAAAGAGTCCCAGCGCTCTCAGCCTCTCCTCACACGGGAGATGCTCCAATCCCTCAGTCATCTTGGTTGCCCTTCACTGGACCCACTCCAGCAGTTCCCTGTCCCTCTGGAACTGGGGAGCCCAAAACTGGACACAGTATTCCAGTTGTGGCCTCACCAGTGCCGAGTAGAGGGGGAGAATGACCTCCCTCCACCTACTGGCCACACTCTTCCCTACGCAGCCCAGGATTCCGTTGGCCTTTTTGGCAGCAAGGGCGCACTTCTTGATGTTCTATTTTACTTTGCCAGGGATGGCCGTCATGCCAAACTACGGCAGCCTTTCCTGTTTTTCCAGAACCATCAGTAAACACCGTAACACCATCCGCTGGGGCTGACTGACTTAATTATTTCTGCGCAAATCGACTTTGACCACCCATTTTCAAAAGGGGATGAGAGATGATAAGTGATCTGACCTCTAAAATTTATCGTTGCCGCTTGAAGTGCTGAGCTATTGGCCAGACACCACTCAAAATACTGACTTTCCACCAGTATCCCCATCTTCTCGGGATCTCTTGCCAATAACTCCACGCAACGAGTTCTAGTTTTAATAACAATCTGAGCCAAAACCTCAAAGAGACCCCGAGTTGGTTTTTTTTTTTCGCTTTAAAGGGTAAAAACGGCCCATTCTAAAACATGCGAAGGGTCTTGCCAATTGAAATTCCACTGTGCAATCATTGCAAAAGGTATCATCTCATCCGTCAACACAAACACTCGTACTGGTACCGCTAAATCAGTTCTCCACACGTGCCTTGCTGTAATCGCTTGTTCCACTTTTTCAACTGCCTGTTCTGCTTCTGGGGTGAGGACTCGTGGAGCAGCGCTGTCCGAGTCCCCCTTTAACAGCTCCAAAAGTGGCTGTAGCTCAGAAGATGTCAACCCCAAACAGGGCCGCACCCAATTAACGACTCCTGCTAATTTCTGCACATCATTTAAGGTTTTCACTTCTATCTGCAACTGAATCGATTGGGGCAAGATCGTTTGATCTAATCTTTTCATTCCCAGCTGTGACCGTGGCTGCTGACGTCGCGCCTTTTCTGGGGCGATAACCAACCCGTATCGTCGCAGTGATTTACGTGCTGCGTTTTCCATGTCGGCCAACATTGTCTTTGAAGGAGCGGCTAACAAGATATCATCCATTTCAACAACATCCTGTTGAAAATGCAGCACGGACTGGACTCAAAGCTTTTGCCACAAACCACTGGCAAACGGTGGGCGAGTTTTTCGTGCCTCGGGGAAGCACCTTCCAGTGATACCCGTTGGCAGGATTACTGTTGGTCGCTGATGGCACTGTAAATGCAAATTTGTCCGTGTCCTGTTCATTGAAAGGAATAGTACAAAAACAATCCTTTAAGTCTATCACGACATTTTCCCATTGGGATCACGGTTGGTGAGGGCAACCCTGGTTGCAATGCTCCCCTTGTTGCCATCACCTCATTAACCCTCCTTAGCTCACGTAACAAACGCTATTTCCCCGATTTCTTTTTTATTACCAACACAGGTGCGTTCCATGGGCTATGAGAGGGTTCGGTGTGTCCTGCGGCCAATTGTTCTGCGACCGAAAGCTGCAGGGCTGTGAGTTTTTCCCGATTAAGGGACCACCGATCCACCCACACCGGCTTTTCCGTTAACCACTTCAGAGCCAGTGTTGGCCGTGTGCCGCCCTGCAACGCAGTGGCCCCCATTAAAAACCCGTTGTAATTCCTACCCCCCCATTGTGACAAACAGTCTCTTCCCCACAAGTTCAGGGGTGCGGTGGTCACATATGGTCTAACGGTGGCTTTCTGTCCCTCAGGGTTGCTGACAATAACAGGTTTAGCAGCCATAAAGCTATCCGCAGTCCCTCCAAGACCTACCGCTCCCGTTGTATTCCATACCAAGGGCCAGGTAGGAGGCCGGTCGCGGTGCGCGATGACGGTGACGTCAGCTCCCGTGTCCAATAGTGCAGATACCTTTGTGTATGAGGGACTGGCGTGGTCCGTGGTGAGCGTACAGGTCATCTGTGGCCTTTTGCCTGACGCAGCTTGGGACCGAAGGACGAGCGGTTTCCCGGTGGATCCGAATCCTCCATCTCCACGAGTAACCTGTTCTGTTCTGGGAACACGACTCACAAAGGGTACAAGTTGAGCAACGCGTGTACCTGCATTCGTCGTCACTGGGGGCGTTGCAGCAGACACCATAGCCCAAATCTGTCCTGCATAGTCTGCATCGATCACACCTACGTGTACCGTCAGCCCTCGTAAAGTACTACTTGATCTTCCCGTTAACAACGCACTAAGTCCTTCACCGATTGGTCCCCGTGCAGCAAGAGGTAACCTGTGCGCACCCAGTGTTGCGGTAGTTACTGTGTGGGCGGTGGATACGTCCATCCTGGCTGCTCCGCTGCGCTTGCCTGAGAGCTTGTCACATACGGTGACTGGTTTCACCGAATCCCAGAGTGGTCAGGGTTGGAAGGGACCTTTGGAGATCACCTAGTCCAACCCCCCGCCAGAGCAGGGTCACCTACAGCACGTTGCACAGGACGGCGTCCAGGCGGGTTTGGAATGTCTCCAGAGTGGGAGACTCCCCCACCTCTCTGGGCAGCCTGTTCCAGTGCTCCACTGCCCTCAAAGTAAAGAAGTTCCTTCTCATGTTAAGATGGAACTTCCTATGTTCAAGTTTATCCCCATTACCCCTCGTCCTATCACTGGGCGCCACTGAAAAAAGACTACTCCCATCCCCCTGGCATCCTCCCATTAAGTATTTGTATGTATTAATAAGATCCCCCCTCAATCTTCTTTTCTCTAGACTAAAGAGACCCAAGTCCCTCAGCCTTTCCTCATAAGAAAGGTGCTCCAGTCCCCTAATCATCTTTGTTGCCCTTTGCTGGACCCTCTCAAGCAGTTCCCTGTCTTTCTTGAACTGGGGAGCCCAGAACTGGACACAGTACTCCAGATGCGGTCTCACCAGGGCAGAGTAGAGGGGGAGGATGACCTCCCTCGACCTGCTGGCCACACTCTTCTTGATGCACCCCAGGATGCCATTCGCCTTCTTGGCCGCCAGGGCACATTGCTGGCTCATGGTCATCCTGTTGTCCACCAGGACTCCCAGGTCCCTCTCCACAGAGCTGCTCTCCAGGAGGTCAGCCCCCAACCTGTACTGGTGCATGGGGTTATTCCTCCCCAGGTGCAGTACCCTACACTTACCCTTATTGAACTTCATAAGGTTTCTTTCTGCCCAACTCTCCAGCCTGGCGAGCAGATCATCGATGAATATGTTGAACAAGACTGGGCCCAGTACTGACCCCTGAGGGACACCACTTGTTACTGACCTCCAACCAGACTCTGCACCACCAACCACAACCCTCTGAGCTCTATCTGTCAGCCAGTTACAATCCGGATTTGTCCGAGGATCGTTTTGGTTCTGCGTCATACCCACAAGAGGATTCCCAGGATTGGAAGGTATTTGTGTCTGCGCGCGCCCTCTCGCGCTCCTCCTGCCGTTTCCCCGCAGCAGCTGCCCATTGATGTGGAACTGAGATGGACGTTGTTTAGCCAAACGACCCGGTTTCCCACATCGGTTACACGTTAATTTTGGTACGCCACCAGAAGGCTCCTTTCCCTCTTTTTGTTTCGCGGTTGGACAGTTGGCTCTAACGTGCCCCTCTTTCTGACACGTATAACATTTTGGAGCCGATTGTGCTTTTAAGGCAACAGCGAGAGCAGTTACTTCATGTTCTACCGTTCCGACCTTGGAACACGCAGCGACCGTATCAGTCAGGGAAGGCTCTCCGGGCACGGCCTCAATTATTTTTGGACAATCCTCATTAGCATTATCTTTTGCCAACTGTCTACATAACATCTGCCGCAGGTTTTCATCCTCTACCTGTTTCTCCAGCGCTGCAGCGGTCTTCTTTACGAATTGTAAAAGGTTCTCTCGCTCCCTGCCTTATCACCGAAATCACAAAATTTTGGCGCGGAGACGCCGTTTCCGTGGTTTTGATCAGAGCCTGCATACCGACCCGCTGACACTGTTCCCGTAGGAGAGGAGGCCACCGTGCCTGTACTTGCGGATTAGAAAAAACATGACCGGTTCCCATCAGAACCTCCACCCCCGCACCCGATCTGGGATCCCCCTGAGGTAGTTGCTTGTTTCCCAGGGCTGCTTTTTCTGCAGCTCGTCTCCAATTTGATTCAAATACCGAATACTGGACTGGTGAAAACATAACCTGCGCTAAATGCTTTACGTCGGATGGACACAACCGATCGGTGTTAATTACGCGAATTAACTGCATCACCTCCTGAGAATTAAGTCCGTACTTAGCGATGTTTGCTCGTAAGTCCACAACTACTTTCCGGGCAAACGGATTACGCCCATCGTGCTGTCCCGTGCCCTCTGCTGCTTGAAACACAGGGATATTGGACATTGAAGCAGCCTCAGCAGTTCCACTTGATAAATCAAGTCTTTCCACTAAGTCCCAATCCCCCATTTCTATTGCTTTGTTTTTAACTTGTGCCCGGAACCGATTGCGATTCCGTGGAATCACTGCCGCAGTAGCGGGGGGCAAAGTCCACGGTTCTGCACGAGTCTTTGGTTGGCAGTGTGGCCCCCCCGGAAGTTTTTGATAATCGTGGTGTTACCTTTTTCTCCTCCTCGTCCTCACTGTCCGATAAAGGTGGACACAACGCAGCGGTGGGGCGAGGAGATCGGTACTCTTCCTCCGTTCCAGGAGGAGCCGAGGGCTGAGCAGACATTTCATTTGCTTCCCACTGGGCCAGCTGTTGTGCTGGAGTTTTATAGGCTGGTAAAGCACTTAAAAAGTCTTTAGGCAGTTTCCACTTTCTTAATTTCTGCTTTTGCTCATCTGGTGTTGGATAGCTAGACCCCCCGTAATGATTCATCAACAAGTTGCAATGTTTTCATTTTTCCTGTCACTTCTGACACTTCTGGGAATCTCTCGGAATCTTTTCCACCTACTGTAGCTCCGGCAGTCTCTTTCTCTTCCTGCTCTACCGATAGACTTGCCGCGGCAGCGCTTATCTCTTGTTCTTTCTTATCACCTTCGTTTTTCCAATCCTTTAGAGTTTCACTCAGCAGCCGCCACACTGTAGCGAGATCAACGGCGTCTTTGGATCCCTTAGATATAGCGTCCCGTAATTTTTTTCCAACATCCTCCCATGCCGATACACTAAATGCGACAGCGGGTGAGGCTTCAAATCCTTGTCCCTTGCTCCAAAGGAGCATTCGGCGTAACCCAAAGTCACCAGCCTTAACTCCTCTCTGAGCTAAAAGGGCTTTCCAAGTGGATAATCACAGAATCACAGAATTTTCAGAGTCTGATTCAGGTCCGGACCAGGCAGCTCCCCGCCGCTCTCAGCTTCACCGGGCTCCTGTCCCCGCTGCACGGTCCTCCTGAAGCCTTCCCCAGTCCGTGGATTGTCCCGTAATGTCACGTCGGGGTCACCAGGTGTCGTCGTAGAGACGGACGCGACACTCAATATCCAGTTGCGGCAATCGTATATGTTATTTTACAAGCAGTGCTCTTTTCTAGCCTTTTACCCGGATGCTTCTCTGTGCATATACTCTCCCATTCTACTTTTGCCCAACGTGCTCTCACCGCACACGCCGTCCGGCCAATACAGTTGTCGATCACGCGCTGTTCGTGCTCTGCTCAAAGCCAGGATGTTTGCCGACCCTTATCTTGTTTGCTCGGATCTTCTCCGGATTCTCCAGTCTCTTCAAGGGTACGCGGGTATCTGCTCAGGGTCAGCGTTAAACTTGTATTCCGGTCCCTCGGACCGGCCGAGGTCTCCCGCAGAAGGGTATATTCTGGTTTTAGTTGACACTTTTACTGGACGGCCTGAGGCATTTCCCTGTCGTACCGATAAAGCAAGGGAAGTAGTTAAAGTGTCGCTAAAAGAAATTATTCCAACATTCGGTGTTCCTGTAGGAACGTCATCAGGTAGGGCATCCCATTTTTTTGCGGATATTGTAAAACAAGTGAAGCAAAGTCCCAGCTCTAACGTGGGACCTCCATACCCCTTACAGACCGCAATCAAGCGGGAAAGTAGAACGAATGAATTACCCACTTAAACAACGACTTGGGAAAATATGTCAGGAAACCCCCATGACTTGGGTACAGGCTTTGCCCTTAGCGTTACTAAGAATCGGAATGCAACCTCATAGGAAGAACGAGTCCGTAGAAGTCCATATGAGTTAATGTATGGACAACCTTCCCAGGCCCCACATATACCAGGTCCCACTCGTATCAGGGGAAGTACAGATGGGAATAACTACCTGATGTCTTTAGGAAAAACTTTACGGGAACTTCAAAAAAAAAAATACTTCAAAAAAACCTCCAGTTCCAGCCTGGAGATTGTGTCTACATTAAGTCCTGGGATTGGGAACCGCTGGCTGAAAAATGGAAAGGACCATTCCAGGTTCCCTTAACCACCTATACAGCTGTTAAAGTTTGGGGCAAAGGACTGTGGATCTGTTATCCAGAACGAAGAAGGTCCCAGCCCCAGGGACAAGAGAGCAGCAATAGCCCTTTAAATTCAAGATAAAAAAGAATTACGATTAGCTTCTGTGGTTTGTTGATGTTAACGATGGCAGCCAGGAGTAAAGTGTGACAGACTGTACAGTGGGATCAAAATTTGCATCTAATGCTAACACAAAATATTACCCGGACACTACGTAAAAATGATTGTTGGGTCCGTAGTCTGTTCCCAAAACATTCTCTCTCGGGGGGATCTCTTAGCGGAGTCCCAATTCCCCAAGGCGTTTCCTGGACCAATCCTGGCCACTGGCCCCATCTCAGTGGGCGATGGAAGGATGAAAATGACTCTTTAGAACTCACTGTCGTAAGTGACGGTCCCAACTCTACAACGTGTTTCTACAGAGGAGGCAGAAACGATTCCAGCCCCAGATCTGGGGACAATGGATGTGACAATACCCCTTCTAGTTTTCGTTACCGTCGCACGGGTTTTTTAGGGTGTTTTCCTGGTTGTAACGGGACACG